CGGTTAGTTTGTTTTCTTTGTGCACGTTATGATTTTAATGTTAACAATTGATAGTGGAATGTATTACAAATGTAAACTTCGTATTAATGATGGAATTAAGCTGCAGAAACGACGTTAAATATATTAATGCATGCGGGGTATATGGAGGTGTGGGCTATCTGAAATTTGTTTTACACAAAACGCTATTTTTGCGGGGTATATGCGTCTGCGGCTTATATGCGCATGCGGGCTGTATGTGGGAAAATAGGCACTTCTGTCTTATTACACATATAGACTGTGGTCCTATACATTTAGACCTGCACCCACACAGGTTTCACCATAAAGAGAATGATACTGAGTGCACTCACAGGAATACAAATGGATTATGGGTACTGGATTCTGTTGAGTTTTAACGTAAAATATTGGCAGCACCTGAGTGTCTGGGTTGAAAGGTAACACAGAGAGAGCAGATGCTCTTTAAGTTTTTTGCACAGTAAAACAAATATCTTATATCAATAAATACAATTGAAGCGGCAACGCACAATTATGATACATTATATGGAACATATAAATTAACTCTAGATAAATGTGGGCACAGCCAATTCTTTCCAAGCAATATTTTCTTTGAAGAACTAAGATCTAGTTAGCTAGTCTCGTGAGATTGTGGTCAAATTGTAATCTTTGTACATTCATTATACTATTTCTATTTTCATTACAAACATACATTACTGTACTGTATTTATAAAATATATAATAAAAACATACCACACGCTAATTGTAGCGTGAGAATAACATTGCATGTTAGAGTAGCATTTCATATCCCTAGCAACAATCTGCCCTTTGTGGGTTCGCAAATGTTCCCAACAGAAAATGTTTGGCTGTCACTATTTGCTGTGGCAAACAACAGCTGTGTACATATCCAAGCATACACAAAATTACCGGGTAGTAGATATACATTGCAGTTATTCATAAAAGGGCACGATTGTTCTGGAATGTACAGCACGTGGTCAATTGAAATGTGAATAAGATGCCGTATTGTCTTCAATTCATACACATGGTATTGCATTCTCTGAGACATACCACAACAATTTCTAAATGCTTTCATTAAATGCTACATGAAGAGGATTTGGTCTTTCAACGACGATATCTTACGTAGAAAATATTTAGAATATGTATGAGAAAATATCTACAAATCCACCCGATCTTGTTCAATGTCAGAAGCTAAGGAGGGTTAACCCTGCCCTGGTTAGCTTTTACATCGGTGGCCACCAAGCCTTGCCTGGTGTGGTAGAGGTGTCGCCAGGAAATCGCAGCCCTTTTACGTGTGGGGTTTCTCCAGGTACTCCATTTTCCTCCCACATGCCACTCATTCATGGTATTGGCAAACAATTTCAATGCAGGGCCTTCTTTAGCCTTGAGACTCATTAATGCTTTATTGGGTAAACAATTGGCATTGCTGTATTCTATTATTGGGTAGAGTGGTGGTCTGAGTTTGATTCCACAGCACGGCTATCATCAGCAGCAACTAATATCTGAACCCCTCCTGGAGCTCGGCTTTACAAATCTGCTCACCAGTGTGGTGAAGTGTAGTCACACGACCTCTGTAACTAACACGACACGTTGATGCATTTATCAGCAGTGAATTGACAATGGACTGATATTTAGTCTTATTATCAGTATGTTGTTACTATTTTATAACATAGTAAAAATAATAATTTACATACCTTGTGTTAATTTACAACGTGGTCCAGATGAATATGCAATGTAAATATGTTAGGGGTAAATTAATTGGGGGGCCACAAGACATCTAGTCAACCCAATACTATTGGATTAAAGTCGTGTCAATCATGAGGCTTTTTGACCATAAGTTGCCATGCTGGTCAGTGCAGCTTTGTGAAGCAGAGGGACTCAGGACCAGCCGAGATATCACTCGCCACTGTGGTTCACCGTGACCAGGAATTAAACCCAGGTTACTGGGTTCGGAGAAGAGCGTGCTGACCACTGCGCCACCGCTACCAACCTTTCCATTGCTTGTGCTTTGTATGAAAACAATTACATAAAAGGTATCCACATTCATGATATTTTCACCATGGTAGTATTTTTTTTATATTTCCTTGTATGAGAACAAAGTGCAGGCCGTAATGGTTATTGTATGAATAGTTCTCACATACAACTAGCTCATGTTTGAATGTTGCCTTTATACCTTAGAGGGGAAAAAAAAACACATTTTAGATTTGAGCAAGTCATTTCCATCAACTCTTCATCCATCACCCGTTCCACTCGAACTCTTCAACGATCAAAGTTCAATTATGTTACAGAAGGCAATAATACAACATTTACACCACCTCCATTTCAGAGGATGATTCGTGACACAATGGGTGCCATAATTGAATGGTGTCAGAAATGCAATGTACCGCTTAGTGGCGGAATTAAGCGGCATGAGTGGGACTAAAAAAAACGGGAAATTCCCGAATAGTGCTTTGTCGTGCGCCAGTGGCATAATATACCATGGCTCCAGTTGTGCGATGCGGGCACACCAATTGTGAAACCAGAAGTAATGCAACATTTATCTCGGTCTTGTTGCTTTGACTCTGCAATGAGATGCTGTCCCGGTGCTTTAGATTATTTTTTTTTATGATATAATTATTGTTTGCTTTTTTAAGAGGGCAAAAATAAAATAATCAGGCGGGTGAATATTTTATGGCACGAATGGGAAAAAAAAACAGGAGAAACCCTAAATGACCTCCACCGTGAATGAGCCGAGATGAGCTCCCAGTAGCTGTGTATTGTGACCATAAACGACTCTTGGCATCTGTTGGTGGAATGAATGGTCATGCCAGCTGTAGTCATAACTACTGTTGAGAAAGAAAACTGTTTTGAGGCTCCAGCCCACTCGCGCTGGAATTGTAGTTACTTAAGCGCTATGAAGAATGGCGAATGTCTGAAACGTGATCTCTGATACTATTGTCCTTATTTTATTAAGGTAGTCTTGTTGAAATATGTGTTGAGTTTTTCTCGTTAACTGTGGTTGTAAACCACTGCCAACGCACCATTGTATGTACGTTGAACTTACTTCACACCGCACGTAGCCAACCGTGCGAATCCGAGGCGCATCTCCATTTAACAGGATTTGTAAATAATTTAAATTTGGCTTAATTGAAATGGACCATGAGCCAGTCATGTATGAGTGTATATGCTGATGCAGCTATTATTATAAAATATCCTGTGCTGTATATGCTCAGTGTGATAAGTAAATGAGGATAGTCACATTTGTTGTTTCTTTCATCTTCATATTTAAGCTACATGCATCTTTAAATTTCACCTTTACCTAATACTGTGTATCTGAAGGAACTGTAATTTGAAGCAAATTTATATTAAATGTGTTGTAGACTAGCACTGCATTTCAACATGAAATACACTACAGTATAGTGAAATACTAAACGCAAAGCTACAACAAGTGTTGTTATATTCTTATATCTGGCCATGATTTAAGAATAACCTTTGATATAATTTCACTGGTGTGTTTGCATATTATACAAATAATGATATACAGTAGCTCATTTTAGTAGTTTACTTATCAACTAAATTACAAATAAATTAAAATATGGCTCAATTGACAAATATGTTAATTATAATCTTAGCTTTTTCGGTAAAGTCACGTTGAAGGGAAACAACAAAATAATAAAATATATATAAAACAATAAAAATTCTCACGACGTTTCGACCATAACACAAACGGTCGAAACGTCGTGAGAATTTGTATTGTTTTATATATATATTATTATTTTATTGTTTCCCTTCAACGTGACTTTACCGAAAGAGCTAAGAATATGAATTACTGCAGTCACGAAAGCTTTAAATCAAAATTTATGTTAATTATGTTAAGAAATATACATCAATTTTACCGTAGATTGATTCTACCCACTGGCAGAGCCAGTGGGGGGAGGGGGGTGTGGCACGTGCCCCCCCCCCCCATGATCCGATCGAAATCCCTAATTTCGATCGGATCATTGGGGTTAATAGTAATACATCGGCATTTTGCGACCCCCACTGCCACTTTGTAGCATATTATCACGTGCCAAGGACTCTGCGAGATGATAGGACAATGGTCCGAGTCCATAATTGGCAATAAGTAACGGAAAAGCGGTTATAATTCGCGAAAGCCTACGTGTTATACTGAGTTATAAGTGACTCACAGAATTGTGCGCAGTTGCGTGTAGAGCAGGACACGACTTCCCTGAAGGCATCGACAACTTCAGCGAGAGCGATGCCGATCACACAACAACGCGGTTCCAATTCGACACCTCGATCGATGGCTGTGCCATCGCCGCACACGCGTCGAATACAAAGCAAGGGACAAGTCCTTACTTATTAACAACTCCTCCACCATTGACTCTGCGTAAATATATAACGCTAAATATCCTTACCAACATTTTCGCGATTTATAAAATTCATTTAAAAATAAATTCTGATGCATGCCCAATAATACGGTACATTTGGTTAGACGTTTTTTTCCTGTTTAAAAAATATTCAACTTTTGTATGTGCATTATAATTAATTGATTTAGATACCTTTCCAATACAGTCCACGGTTTTCAACAATGCTACATGAATCATATACAAAGTTACAACACAATATAAGCTTGAGTTTTAAAGCTACGTTTTGTTCTGTTAAAAATATTGACATGAACTCTCTCTCGAAGCCCTCTCCTGGTTAACGAAACATCGACATTGGCATTTAGCTCCTGAAAATATAACCATATACAAGAATAGCATTACTTCCTAAAAAACACGCTTTTATTTGTATCCAAATAAAGTACTCTATATATTCCATGACAGTTATGCTTGAAAACAAGACGATGCAAAGCTTAGCTTTAGGAGGAAGTGCTGAAAATAATTTTATACGCTAATACTACGGTTTAAAGTAGCTCATCTAATATTTTTTGTGACAGTATCTGAAATAACGAGGGAAATCAGCTTAAAAATGTAAAAAGAAAGGTCAATAAAGTTGCTTTCTCCTACCTTGTAGAATTCTGTTGAGTGACTTTCCAGTTGACAAACAGATGACAACACGGTTGAGTTGAAAAGAGATTGATGGTTTGCGCTCAGCTCTGTGTGTGTGTCCTTTATCAGTTTTAGTTCGAACGTATTCTTTTGGCAGTCAATGCGTGACCTCAGCCTGTGCCAGGAGCTTTGAAAATAATGGCTTAAAGGATACTCCCGATGACTTTTGTTCGATGCTCAAGTTCTTCCTGTAGAAACAAAAAAAGACCCAGTCTCGTATGCACGCACGCGCATCATGAATGTTGCTTTGGTACAGGCGCGAAACAGGAAACATGGGCAGGAAATCGTTTTTTTTTTGTTATCACGGCCTGCACAGTGTGTTGGATGAGTGACAACAACGGCTGCACGCTGCAAAAATTCGCAACACGTGTGGACAATCACCGCACAAGGGTCGCCTATGTGCAATGACAGAGCCGCACACACACACACGATGTCATCGACACAGTATTAGTACACTTCCACTGCTGGAGCTGAAGGATCTCAAATGAAAGAAAACCTCCTTTGAAACGTTTACGAAACGTAACTTTTAAGCCGCTTTAAATCTAGGTTTTTTTTTTCCAGATTCTATTCGCTTATAATTTGTCAATCGGTGGCTACGGTGGACGGAGCATAATTTCACTGACACATTACTTATTCCGGTAAATTAATCAACAACGTACACTGTATGCAGTATACTTGTATTTGCCGCATGACAGACTATGAGCCGAGCGCACAATGCGCCCTGTAGCTAGTGAGTGTGCACTTGTTTAAAAGGGCGTGCTGCCAGACCTCCTGGGTAAAACACCATTAAACTTCACAAATGTGATTAGACTGACCACTCATCCCACACACTGGACAATATTTGTCCAGCTCCCACGTATGTATGTGTACCAATAACTCATCCAGAAGGCGTGCAAATATTATCTTTAAAAAAATCCCCTGCAGTTCAAATTTAATTTGGCCTTTTACGCTGGCATCCAAACAAAACAAATACCTGGGCGCTGTACAAGAGTTTTCATAGAGGTACATTCCACGTCTGACAAAAAAGCCACTTTATTGTGCGCACTCTAAATGAATTGTTAGGTTGAAAAACAATTTACCGACAGGAGATTAAACCTCATCGGATATTTGTACACTTGTGCTGATCTTTCATAACTATGCGTGTCCACACGTGGTTTCCTCCCAGTGATGACACAAAATCGCGTGTAAAATGCCGATTTTAAAAGTGTAGATGAGTGACGTTGAGAATGGAATGAAGACATTTTGATGAAATCAGATGATGGAAAGTTGGTAGAGAAAACTGCGAACAATATAACTACATCGTTATGTGGTGGGGGGGGGGGTGTAGAACGAACACGTTAGAGAGGTCAGGCATGGAGGGATCTATACGGGATCGGGACAATGATGTATGTTGTACGTATATACCGTACGTTGAACTTTTTCCACACCGTACTTTGACAACCGTGCTAATTGACTTGGTTACAGAGGTGGAACTACTCGAAACTTCCCAAGGGGAGGTGAGGGGGAGGGCAGTCGTGAAATTGCCACGGTGGTGAGATGTTAACTACCTCGCCTGGTACACAGGAAGTTTGAGTTTGCATGAGAATCAACGTGGGTGTAAAGTATTCGGCCGCTATACGTTACCACGTGATCATTAATTTCGTTGAGCTATCATTTGTGGCCACGTCTCTTGAAAAAAAAAGCTATATAGCTCAGTAGTTCTTACTTGGTAAATAAAAAAATATATAGTTTTATTTAATAATAATTCAAACATAACCAATGTATTTATAATGGTGAATATAAAGACAGTAAAATACAAATTAAAGGGGTTTCAAGGTGCAGACTATCGCCACCCCCCACAGGCCCCCGTCCCCTGGATCCACCACTGGTTGATTTAGATAATGATACAGGGTACCGTGCATCGGGTCAGTGAGAGAACGATAAACGGAACAGTGCATAGGGAGAGGGAGACTGAGACGCAAGCTATAATGTATTTAATCGCAAAAAAAAAAACGAAACATATAGAGAGCGGCCTCGAGTGATGTACGGATGGAGGAAGGTTTGTAAACACAGGGAGGTTTGCGAGGAGAACAAACAGGAAGTGCATCATGACTGGTGGTGTTGATAATGGAAGAGAAGTAAAGCAAAGTACGTAAGAATGTGCACGTGTGGTCTGTTTGCCAATGTAACAACAGCTGCATTTTTTGTCATTTTTACATGGACCAAAACAACTATTTCATTGCGTTAAGGAATTTGGGAGAAACGCTATACCCGTTATTAAATTTGTAAACAAAAGTGTTGAATAGCATATAAACTGCAGTTTTTTCCCCTATTCGTCTAGACTATTGTGATTACAATATATTCAACAAGAACAAAACATGTCATGTAGGGAAAGAGATAACACCCGTAGCTTAATGTTATATGTGGGAGAACACATTCCCACCTCAAATACAAAGAGCTGAGGTATGATAAATGTGCTTCTGAGATTCCGGTGTGCCATATATATATATTTTTAAATTTTTGGATACATTTTCTCGTGACTAACAAATAAACTCTTTCAAGCGACTCCATAAAAAACAAATAACCAATTACCTCCTCCACACAAAAGTGTTCTACTTCATGGACAATTCATGAACTACATATAAATCCAATATACAAATGAGCCCAAATATTTCGATTTAACATCAGTGTAATCTAGCCGAGTTTAGAAACACTTTGCTCTCCAATGCCAAGTCACTTGGTCTTGTTCACAACGAATGTAAATGTAACATAATCTTGAGCTGCTGTACAGAGACAGTGGGCATATTTGTGCTGTCAGTCATAGGCCAAAACGGTGGCAGGGAATCGACAGCACGGACGGCCGGGGAGAAGAACGTTCCAGACGGGAAGTGGACGGAGAATGAGTGAGCTCCCATTGTGCGAAGAATATTTACTCGGTTCTTTGAGAGAAAGCATTGGTTGCTGGAACAGAGAGTGCACGGACAGGAGGAGAGTGAAACAAGACAAGAGTGGTTGCCAGGGTGCAAGTCCATAGAGCAAGCAAGTGCCAAACAGTGGGTCGCTACCCCAAAATAGGAACTTTTAATCGGAGGATGGGGTCGCAAGAAATACGGTGAAATCCCGCTTATCTCATGCTCACAAATTTAAAGTTGTGGTCGTCTAAAAGAAATATCTCAGACATTTTTATTGTTCAAATGGTGCTTTCGGTCGGGGATAAAACAACATAAGGTCAAGCCACGGTCCGATTGTGGCCATGGAACCCAAACTATGGACCACAACAAACCACAGAGGAACTCTCTTCTGAAGCCCCCCATCATAGCTAGCAGACCTCGGATATTGTCATTAGTGCCTGAACATCATGCCATACGCAAGAATGGAATAGTTAAAACTGTAATATGTACACTATTACAATTTTAATACGAATGGATGTTTGGTGACTTAAGTAGATTGAATTATGGTTAATGCGTTCATTATTATTATTAATATCGTTTGTAAGTTGTCAACGTTATACGTTAACGAAAGTGAGACTCCATTGGATACGTATTCATCGTGTGCACTGATGTATATGCAAGTTAGGTCACACTGAAGATTGTGGTGGAGCTTCACCTTACAAAAGCATACGCTCTACTTTTTACAAAAAGCTGGCCGGATATGCAGGCGGTGGGACGCGGTGGGCAATTTATTGCAGTTCGTTAAGGCTGGAATGCGGTTTATGTACGCCACCTACAGGCGCAGTAAATATCGTGTCACCTTGCAAGTATGTATATTGTACGTTGAATTTATTTCGCACCGTACGTAGCCAGCCGTGCTAAATCGGAGGCGCGGTAGAAGGACGACAAAGTAAACACAAAAAGCAGTTCTGAAGAAATTAGTTTTCAATCGCCTGTCGTAGGCATTACATCTGTACATTTTTTCGTGGGTGTTTTTTTTTGGTCTGTCTTTTTGGATTCAATATAATAACACAACATTTTACATATTTTCGCATGGTTGTTATCGAGTTTAATATGCCAGTCGTATTAAAAGCTGGATAAACCGTGATAACAACACAAATGCTCATGATGCAGCTGTAGTGAGTTCAACTGAGTCACAGATGTACTTTTTGAGGCAACACATTTATTAACACCAACACACGGGGTAACTGCCCCTTAACATAATAACAACCTATGTTGGTGACCACCAGGCTAATTACACTAATTACACCGTAACTAGCTACAACGGACCGGACCACAGCTTGGGTCCAGGTCCACGTGTTGGAGACTCTGCAGGACGTAGAACGTAGACGAAGATTTATTCAGGATGAACAACAGCGCCGGTCCCTCTAGGGGACCCGGCTTATATCCTCTATGGCGTGGCTGGCTCCGCCCTTGGCCACGACCACCTTACAGAATCCTCAAGCAGGATCTCGACCCTGACACGTGACCACCCCAAGCCCCTACTAGGCGCCCCTGTGTTGACTTGACCGGTCATGTGTCCTCTGGGGTCAACCAGAGTGCCACGGCCCTTAGTAACCCCATTTCCATGGCCGGCACTCCCACACCCTATCCTGTAGGGGCCAGCACTGCACGCCAAGCGTGGTGCCATCCAGCGCTATCGATCAGCGCTCACCGAGCCCCTCTAGGGCCGGTACTGCACTCACATCCAAGTGGTGTCCGCGATGTCAATACACCGCACGCCGGGCCTCTCTAGGGCCGGCATCACACAGTGACATCCCGCGATGTCACTACACATATAATACGGGATTTTATGAGAGCAGGGGGATTTAAGCGAATTAAGTTAATTAATTAAGTGAAAATTGCCAACGTATTTGTCGCGATGACGTAATAAAATATGCATTCAAAGCGAACTGGTAAGTGTTCAATAAAGCTAGCGTGCACTCTCTTATTATATTCGTGGCTAAATATATATTTTTCAAGATCACTTAACGTATCATGAATACGTTAATAAGATTTTAGAGCCAACTGACACTTTTTTAGGTTTTATTTTCTTTAAATTGCCCAAAGTTATTGCGTCCAATGTACATGGGACAATGAAAACACGGGAATTTTGTTTAAAAGGCTGATGTAAGAGAAAATACGTGTTATCATCAAGAGATGTTTGGGAGTCAGGCAAACCAACAACACTTTCATAAGGCATGTGATGTATGATTTAGTTAAAATACTTTGGAGACTGTTTAGCTAAAACACATCTTAAATATAATACACTCGAATTTAAGATGCTATGTCAATAATACACACATTATAATTTGACGCAAGAATAAAAATAAAAGTCTAAAGCTGATAATCTAAAAAAGCATGAAATTAAATAAATACCAGTTAAACACCAACAAATACGACTAATTGGGATTTGGCTACTTTCAACACTCTGTTTTTTAATGGACATTTTAATCGATATGTTGTTGTTAATTGTTGTGCTTGTGTACCGCTGCCAATGTGGCTTCACCATATAAATTGCAGCAATTGTTACAGCAGTTCCAGTGTGAACTTTGTTGTATTTGTTACACTTTACAATTTTGGTGCTCACCAAAATCTACGATTACAAGTTGCAAGGCAATTTTGAGGTGTATGGGCATTTTACATATTTATTAAAATGCCATCCT